ACTCTTTTCATTGTTATTGTTTTATTAAAATCATTTTAACTTTCCCACCCATAAGCCTCTCTCCCTTTTCTCCTCTCCTTTGCTTTCTGGGAAAGGAAGAGGTTAATAGAGAGCATCTGCCATCTGCTTTAAGCACTGGCCCAGCCTTAAATGGTGATGGAAGGATGAAAAGCCAAACAAGTAAAACCTGAAGCTACAGGAAGCTGAAGAAAAGGTCGTCTGAAAGCGCTGCAGTCCAATAAACACCCAATGAAAAGTATGGAGCAAGACGAGATACAGATTGTCCAGCAGGATACAAAATAGAGAATCACACTGAACTGATACAATTCAGCAAGTCAACAGAAAACAGAATTTCTGCCAAACAAAACTGGATTCTATGTGAGAGAAGATTCCAGCATATCTGGTCTTTTCACTCATACTCTTTGCTGTTTTCATTGAAGAGGACTACTATGAGGAAATTGAAGGGCCTTGTGCCGAGAAACCCTTACATATCAGTTGTTGGCAGACAATAAAAATAAGTGCCTAATAACTCTTAGCACATACGTTGCATGTAGCAAAAGAAAGATTAGAAATGCTGAAAATATTCTTCATGAACAAAAAATATCAACTGAAAACAAGTCAGGGGGAGTCAAGACTGGAAAAGGGCATCACTACTCTGGTTTAACTTCACTAACTCAAAAAATAAAGCTGTATTATCATGCTCGGCCAAGAGCAGTCACACTTACCGGATTGTCAGTAAACCGTCAGTCACTCTGAACTGGCCCTACAACTAGTAATGCGCTGCTTTGGCAAAGAGGTATTAAAACATCTTCTGTTCTAAGGCCAAGAACTACAGGATATACAGTCTTGGTGAGCATTTCTAAGCTGCCTTACCTCAAACATCTCTTGCTCTGTCCGTTGATGATCATCCAGGAGCTGCTCCAGGTAGGTCAGATTACAGAATTTTTCTAGATAACTATTGTACTGTTTCTGCAGTTGCTCCTCAATCTTCTCATACTCATCCATAAAAGCAGGACTGGAGAGAACAAGCACAAACTACTCAGACCTGTATATACAGAATTCTGAAATAGGCACTTTTGGTTTTGCAGCTTCCTTTCCATGTCTGCTAAACCAATCTAAAAGGACCTTTTGTTTTTAAGGTTCCACACTACTTCAGAGACTAAAAGCATAAGACAAAAAACCTCATTAAACTATCCTGCAAAAATTGCGTATAGCAATATGCAATATTACATACAGCATGTGGACCCACTACCATTTCCTTTCATATTTTTCTTGGTACTATTTTAGGGGATTTTAGGTTTTCATAATTTTTTTTTTTCCTTCAAGATAAAGGTCTCTTTTGTAAAGAACTTACCCTATCTGCATGTCTTCAAACAGGCAGAAAGGCAGCATTTTGCCCCCTTTAGCAGGCAAATCTAAGTTAATTACCCTGCTGTTTCATGACTCAAAAAAACCTGGCTTGTAGCATGGCTGGTAAATTGCCTACTTTGCTAGGAATTTATTTGCTACAAAACTGTGCTATGTCATTATAAGCATAACTAGATTTCACACCAGTAAGTGATGATGTCCTTATACTACAGAGTTAACTGTTACACCTTAAAGAATGCTATTGCTGTTTGATGCTTCCCATCTACCCAATACACTTCCTCCAAAGTGCTACTGGTCAAAACGTGTATATGAATCAGTGTCATTCCTTCCACCACTCCTTTGTCTAATATTTCTCTTTTTTTTTTTCATATTAGGTCAAAAATGGAGCATGATCTTGTAGCTTGTATAAACTTGTAGTTTAATTAAGGGCAAGAAATCAACTCAAACTGTGAATCTGAACATCTTGATTTTATAGCAGCCTGTATCATAGCCTAGAGGAACTATGCATCCTAACAAGGGATGCATAATGAACTTTTTTTATTGGTGGCTAAGAATGCTAGAAGCCTCTGGGAACAGAGGGAATATTTGCACCAGTGGCTATTTTCCAGAGAACTACATGACACAATCTGTATTTAATGACAAAGGAAGAGACAAGACATGCTACCTGATCATTTTATACAGCTCAAGCAGCAATTAAGCAACCCCAACAAATAATATTCTGGCCATTTTTAACTGCCCTGAAATTCTGATTTCAATTACATGCTAACAGAATAATGAACAATTACAATCCAGACTGGGCACTTCTAGAAAAGAGAATCTCTCTTTTCCCACAGGCCATCATCTCAGTCTTCACTCCTCGCTGCTCTAAGCTTTAACAATGCACAGTTCCACCATTTATGCTAACGCTCATTTGTGCGGTAGATAATCAGTTCATAATCTTTACCGAACACTTTGTAGAGTCTGTAGCCTCTTCTGGCTTCTTTCCAGTTCCAATTTTCGTTTTTCAATCTTGGCTTCCAAATTGGCTTCATCCAAAGCCACATTATTCAACATGTCTTTAGTCTTTTGGACTTGTTCCTAAAAGAGAAGGATGGTGCATCATGGCTTACACTGGAATAATTAGAATTATCTTTCAGATGCTGAACGTTCTTCTGTATAATCTTCCATCTCATGTTATCAAATAACGTCATAACAACGAGCTAGAATGTAAACTGGCTAGGTAATGGAAATTAAGAAGTTCTTCATGGCCAGGATAGTGAACTAACTGGACATTTACAAATTTAAAATACCTGATTTTTTTCCCAGACGTTCTTAAAGAAGAACCTAAAAAAACCAACCCAGAGCCTGCCCTGGTCTTTAACTTTATTTTTCCTTCTCACTGGAAAAGCAGTAAAAGATAGGAAGAAGCCTCCTCAAAAAAATAGGACAGGATACATAAGGATGTCTCTTGATGTGTAAGTATCTGAATAAACACAGATGAGAAATACATTTATTTCTTGGTACTCTTTTAGGGAATTTTAGGTTTCCATAATTTTTTTTATCTCTTCAAGATAAAAGTCTCTTTCATAAAGAACTTATTGTATCTGAATATCTTCATCCTTTTCTAAGTCTTGCTTTATCCATCTTCTCAAAATCTGGGAAGCATCCCAGACATCACAACATATGCTACAGGAATCAGGAGGGGGAAGTGGGAATATTCCAGCTTATTAAAATGAGCTGAGTACATTCAGTGTGCTCTTGCTCAGGAAACCGTGAGCACCTTTTCAGTGAGAGAGGGAGGACTTCACACTTGCCGAAATTCCAGCAGTAACTGTAAGGTGCTGCTCAGCTATAACAGGTCATTTCATTAACTGGTCCAGAACCAAACCAGCTGCAGTACGTGTTATTGCTATTTCCCAAGAAGCCAATTGCTCTACTATGCTGCTGTTAGTTTATTAGCACTGCTGCGTAGAATAGCAATGCATATTAACAACACTTAGAATTCATACAGACTACGAGTAGGAGCAGAAACATAAGGAAAGATTGCCAGGAGTATCTATTGATTATGTATAAATTTGGAACTCCACTCCTTGTAATTATACAATTGGACTGGATACAGTTTGCAGTTCAATACCTTACAGTAATCACTACGATTTAATTAACCACTATACTTGCACAGTGGCTGTGAGTGTAGCTAACTGTTCAGAAACACAGGAATCCAAGCACTGGAGCAAAAACAGTGTTGCCAAAACTGGAACAGACAAAAGGTCCTCCAAAACGAGAACTGTAATGATGCACTGGCATGGCGCTAATTAGCACAGTGCCAGTTCTTCTCACCCCTTGGCCAGCTCAACTATCCTCCTTTCAAAGACCAGCTTCGCAACTCCAGAGGCACCAGCACATTTTCAGTTATCAAGTACACCCCTTGCAGCCCTGACTCTCCAAAGTTTATATGGCTTAGACAATGTAAGTGGGATGTAGATTTCTGTGCTGATTTAAGCAATTTTTATCCCTCTTGTAGAGGTTCTGGGGCTACTACTGAGCTCCAGGGAATATGACTAAAGTGTGTTTTCTCCCAGGAGAGAGGCCAGGTGCAGTTCTTTGATGCATCAACTGGAGGAGTGTTTCTGCATATTGAACACAGTTACACAGTGTGACGGTGACAGCAGAGTGGGTCTTAACATGTTCTCCTAGGTGCTGCTGCTAGCATCGTTTACCTTTTCTGCTACAGCCTGAGATTTCTGACTGCCAGCTCACAATCATCACTGTGCCAACACCTCATTCACTCTGTCAGGAAAGCTATCCGTTTCAATTAATACGCTTGCTCACTTTGAACACAACAACCTTCCCAAGTAAAGCATTAGGATCATCAGCGACCGTATTCATTACCACGACACAAGGAGTCATCAGAGGCTGATCTCTGCCTTGAGGAACTTCCGTTCACACATCTGATGTTACCTAAAGACCAAAGTCTGCATTAGCCATTAACTGAAGTTCAACATTAGCTATTAATTAACTGGGTGCAGCACTATTTGGTCCAGCCAGCTGAAGATGATGTGTGCTTTGGCACTCTTAACTCTAGGCTGTTGATAAAAAGAGTTATGTTCTTCTTGCAGGAGAGGAATGATAATTTTGCAATTAAAAATAATTTTGCTTACCAGAACACAGTCAATGGCAATTTTCATCATCTTCTCAGCCTCATTTATCTCCAAAGGTCTGGCAATAGATTCTGTTCTTGCTTCCTATGAAATAAAAATACACCGATATATTTAAAAACTACACAAAGGAACTAACATATATGCAGAACTGAGAGTGGTCAAGCAACAATGATATGACTGCGGGCATAACAAATGGAGTAGGATTTAGTGGTTATTCACTAAGGCTCAGATGATTTAAAGAACAGGAGATGATGAAAAAGTCAGTTAAGTGAGGCTGAGACTAACACTGAGCAATTAAGGCATCTTTTCAAAACAAGGTAAGCGCTACTGTCTGAACTGCAAGTATTCTTGAATGCAGATATTTGGAAACTTCACTGGTTATTACATGTTAGGCAAGGCAGGCAACATGGCACAGAAGATTTAATCATCTTTACAAGATGATCCACGAAAACAATAGTGTAGGTAGATGAGCACAGCGCCACAAAAATTGTGGAGCAACAAGCACTATGAACCCATCTAACTCTGCCAGGCAGATGTATGGGCTTCTCCGATTTTGATAACCGAGTGGTTCAGAATCCTCAACACAAAAAAAAAAGTGATCCTTGTTTAGATCTCAAAGGATGAAAAAACCTCTTCCACTCTCAGTAGTTTTGGTGACAGAGGGGCTTAGGGGTATTCAGCATGCATTTGTCTGGATGATGTCTTACGACACTGACCTGGTCATTACATGAAAACATTGGATTACTTGTTTGCTGCTGGAGAGAGAGGAGGGAGATTTCTGCAGCTAAGTGTCCTTAAAATAATCTTATGTTGGCAAACCATTTGGTAACAGGTGGGTAAAGATGAAAATAGCATCTCTCTAGAGACCATCTGACTAAGAATCTAAAAATGCTTTATACACGTTGCAACAGGCTGTACCCAGCCTACTACAAGATGAATTCTGGACACAGACACAATTACTTTGTTAAGTTACTATGCCAGACACTCCAGATTGCACAGGTGAGTACTAGCACAGGCAGTCTAGCACCCTCCCCACCAGTTCAAATTCAGGGAGTTGCACAATGAACCCAACCAAGGAGTTCATCCAGCCAAAAAAGCAACTTTTTGTCCTGAGCTTATTCCTCTGCTGGATCAGTTCCCTGAACAAGTCTGCTACATGCTGCAAAAATGCTTTTTTTCCTGTCACAAGAAAAGAAGTATTATGTTGGGGAGAGTGACAGGAGTTACATCTGTTGGTGGTAGTGACAGCTTACGCTGCCTAAAGTGCTTGTGAACATTCCCCTGTCCACCCAGAAATACAATCTCCAAGCAGCAGAAAGTTAATTTGGATGAAAATAAGACAGAGAGTCTGCACAATACAATCTTCCTGAATAACTCCACAGGTAGACACTTTTGGAGGAAGACTGGACGAGAATAATGTAGCTCAGTAGCTATTCTGAGAACACTATGCATTTAACAAGCTCAACAAAATGCCTATTTATTTGTGAGGGCTTTGCCTGAACTGAAATGGCAGCCAGGGTCAGCCTGGTGAAGACACTGCCCTGCCAACTGTACCCACTTCTTCTGTAGCAGAGAGATCTCTGCTACAGAGCGAACATATTTCGAACAAAAGAGTTGATCACTCAGCAGGGGGAAGGAAATTATTTTCCTTCCCACTTTCAAAAGAGATAAAAGAAACAGCAAGGATCTTAGTTTTTAATTATAAACAATTCCCTTACCAATTTCCGTTCAGTAGCCTGGTAAAACACCCGCAGAACATGCACAAGTCACTACAGTGTGTGTCAGGTCAGGGTAACTGATGGGTTTTAGATACACTTCTGAGGATCTAGCTTTTAAGTTGGAATAATTTATACAAATTTAATGTCTTCTTCTACCTTCCCTCTACTGCCCGTGGAAGTTTCACGTACAGACCACAGTCTTCACGCAGAGGGCCACATCATTTTCTAGAACAAGGTTCAGTCCTATGGTCACACCTGCTTGGAAACATTTGTCAGGCCAATGAAGAGTAGTGTAAAGGCAGAAATTTGTATTTTCGGACTGCGGAATCAGGGCTAAACTGGAAAAGCAGAAGGTCAAGGCAATCACCCTCCTCACACCCCAAGAAACAGAGAGGAGAATTCAAGTGGACCATTACAGCTCCTGTACACACACGACTCCTCCCTAAGACTCTGCATTCAAATGTACACTTTTCACTTCACTGTTACAAACAGTGCCATTAACCTAATTTTGACACTTTGGAGTAGTAAATTTAAATGGAAAATATAGTAAATATAACGGGAAAAAATAGTAATATATAATGGCAATATAATGGTAAAATAAATCTATTTTGAGACTATCAAAGCTGTCAACAAATTTTTTAATGGAAGTTTGTAACAGCTTCCCTGGGTACCCGTCACTGGGCCATTTCCTGTTATCCTATGAAAACTCTCAAAGAGAAAACTTTTGGTGTTAATATCTCTTTTCAGGAAAGACCCTGCAACTGGCCATATAGAAGGGGATTAAAAGGAAGGCAGCTCACATTAACATGCCTGGATAAAAATAAACACCCCACAAAGATCATGAAGATGTTATGGAAAGCACTTACTTTAAAATACCAAAGTTACTCAATTTAAACATTCTTCAGCCATAAGCATATTAAAGAAAATTAATTTAACACAACCACTTTAACTGTCTCTGACTCCCTGCATGAGGAAATAAAGCACATTTTTCCTCCAGCCCAACTCATCCTCACTGGTATGTCTTACCCAATATAAAATATGCAGTAACATGACGACTGAGATTTTTAAAGCCTGGCTTTACACAAAGGCTCATCTGTTCACTCTTGAATCTGTGGATACAAATAGGCTGTATACTTGAAGGCAAAACCAATTTTCTAAATTTGTCTAAATATCAGGTATTACATTGCCATTGGCTCTACTCACAATTCCTTGTGCTCAAAAAAAAGTGTGCAAATGAAACTGAGCTGAAAAATACGGCCTCATTCATCTTCTTTTAAAGTAATGCACTCTTTGCAATTAGGTGTACTAATCAGAATACACATTATAATACTCAAGAGGTTTCCTTTAAATTAACTATTAAAAATAGAGTTCTCAGACAAAAAATACATAAAAATTATCAAGGCAAGAGGAGGTGAGAAGCAGAACAATTTAGGACTATGCCTGGTAATTACAACTTGAGAAAACAGACATACACAAAACCAGAGAGGTACTCATGAACAAGCTGATTGTTTACCACTCACCAGTGCTTCCTGTTCAAAGTGTCCAAGAGCTCCCTGGCTATAGCTTTACATGATAAATACTAATTAAATATTAGGGAAGCCAAGTGTAAAATTATTTTTGATGAACTAAAGCTGACAATTATTAAAGAAAACACACAAAGGCACACAAGAGTCACCATTTGCTGCCATTATTTCTCCTCGCTGGTTGGACTCATACTTGGTGCTGCATGGAAGGGCTGAGACTTTAATTCTTCAAGTTTTGCATCTTACTTTGGACAAAGCCAATCGGAAGTACCAACAAATTAGTTGGCTGGTTTGGACTTGAAAACTTGGTTTTCTTTGGAAATGAGAATTTAATTACAAAGTAAGAAAGATTTCTAACCAAAGACTAGCTGACTGCCCAATCAAGCAGAACAGAGCAGAGCCTGACAAGACGGTCCTCACAGGACATAAAGTTAGCACTGAAGCCAGCTCTGTCCAAATTGCACCAGTTTTGGCATCAAAAGTCAAAAATCAAAGTTAAATTTCCTTAGAGCAAAACTGTACTGCAGCCATTTCAGGAAACAGCACTGATCTTAAAGCCTTCAAAAACTCCATCTGTCTAAAGAATTTACTCATCTCAAATCCACATCCCTGCTGAGCAACGGTTCCCTGGGTCAAACAGCAGCGAGGGAGAAGACCACAGTGAATCTTCAGAGCAGAAGCCTGAGGTTCTGTCCACAGGAATCAGATCAGCAGCCAGCCTACCACCTTTTGCTGAAGAAGTCAGCCTAACACAGCACCACAAGTTACCGTTATGCTCGCAACGCTCAGGTTAGTGTCACAGTACTGCTTCTTTCTGCCAAAAGATAACGAAGCAACTGGTTCATCTAACCAGGAGTTCTATCTCACTCAGCAAAAAAGCATCCTGTAAGATACAAATACAGAGACAGTAACCGTATCAAACCCTCTTCCAGCTTCACTGTCAAACATCCAGCTAAACATAAAAAGGCTGGTTGAAATATAAAATGCAGAAAAGCAGTACAAGACTTGCCTTTCCTGTCACTAAAGACCAGTTCCACAAAGCTCTGCAGCCTCAAGCTTCCTGGATGTGGAAACACGTGGACCTCTCTGCCCCTCCAGGATCAGTAGGGAATACCTATCTTTTATTGAGAGTATCTTTTAGGGTATGCACACAATCTCTGAAACATGTGGTAACATGCAGGTGACTCCGTTGCCTGAACAAATGTGTCCACTGTCATCTTCCAGGTATGGCCTAAGTCCATATTATATTTGCCAGCCCTCTTCAAATGTCTTGGACACTCTCAGACACCTGAAATGAGACTAGATGCCCATAAAAGCTCCTGAAAGTTTGGATGTCAGCCTACTTGCGTGTTAAACATAAGATAAGAAATATCCTATACCGACAATTAAAATTGTTGAGAAAATATGACAAAACTCTCCAAAAGCATCAAGAATTAGCAGACAACACTACAGAGGTAACTGGTATGTTCTCAAGTATCATATGGGCTCCACAGACTAAGTACTGGCCGAGGGTCAAAATACAGCTCCTGGCATCTTCTGACCTTAGCAGAAACCGTTAACAGCAAATAGCACTTTCCAGGTACGTTGTACCTTTCCATCGTGCGCAAGGTGTTACAATCTGATTCAGAATTCTTACATGAAGGATAATGTTGTGAGTCCATTCTGAAATCTAGAAGCACTTTCATGGACTCACTTGTAGCTTGGCTCATTTAGCTTAAATGTCAGACCTGGAATGGGAAATAGCTCTACTATAGCTTGGCCTTCTGCTGAAACCTGAAGAGCTTCTCTGAAAGTCAGTCAACTGTCAAGGTGGTAGCGTTGGTGCTAGCACTTATCTCTATGC